TAAGAACCAATCGTCAAACAATTATAGCTTCACTTAAAGTCTGTCATACATTTAAACACATTCATCATCCATTGAAGAAAGGTAGTTGATGGATACGTTTAAAAGATATTTTTCAATTCGAATTTCAAGTTTTAGATGCAATAAAGGTTTTCACAAGTTCCAGTTTTAAAGTAAGAATCATAAACTCAAAGAAGAGCACATTATAAAACATGCCCAAAATAAGACTCATTTTAAAACAGATTAAATTGTATTGTGATAATAAATGCTGCAGATACAAAGTAATATAAGATAATACCATCACCAAAACATCACTCATGATCATCTCTCATTAAACACCACTCAAAGACAAATAATCTAATCTCATGTCCTCAATCTTCAACGATTAACATCAAAACTAAAACACCACTGAGTATAAATCCTAAATAAAACCACAAGTGAAATATTCACTCCATTACACATGTTGGGAGTGCTTTACATCGTTCCCCGACCAAAAATAATTCACAACCTACAAAGAAGCATAAATGTGACAAAAGCTGATTCAATTCAGAAACATGCAGTTTATATATTCAGTTTGAGACAATGATTGTTGGATTTCAATAATGGCTTTCTTTACCTAAGTGGTATTCAACAGCCATACAGCTGCTAGCTGTGTAAGTAATGTATCCAGTGTCATGTGTGTCTATGTATCAGTTTATATTATTATATATTATGATTTATCTTTGTCCTCAATAAAATCATGTTGTATGTTGTTGGAACTTATGCAGATGCAGAAGGGAGTAACAATTTAAAACAACAATACAACATGTATATGATAAAAGCTAGAAAGAGTCCTGAGTCTGAATAAGAAATAATTCTGTGTTATTCATGTTGTTGAGTCATTTCCATGGTCTTTTAATTACCCTCAGGTCCAAGCAGATGCGGCTTCTTCTCGAACTTCCTACATGTTAATAAAGACACAAAAGTACATCTGTTTAAAGAAAGCAGTATAGAGTAAACCTAGTGAGAGATAAACTGAAGAAGAAATGATTCTATTTAACAAACGATCTAACATTCAACTTATTTTAAAGATAAACGATGTACTCATCATGCAGATCCATCATCTCACTGCTGAGAACTTTCAGTTTTTTTAAATCTCAAGTAATAAAATACATTATTTCAAAGTTTTTGTCCGTTGGTAGGAAAATACAAAAGTTTGACGACACCAATGCTAATTTAGCATCAAAAAAAGATCAAAATCATATATATGCAAAAAAAAAGAATCCTGAAGCTCTGTTTCACTATGCAATCATTCCCTCCCTGCTCATTGTTCCATTCTAATGCTCATATATTAAAACAGCCTTTCAATGTAATAAAACCACAAACTGCATATATTAATATGTCACATACACACCCATTCAAAAAAGCCAATTTTTACAACAGAAATAAACATGTTTACAGCCCGATTCAAAAAACCAAATTGGTCTGATTATCTCATGTCTCAATCAGCACACACTGTATGAAGAGGGATTTTTTTTTTAACATGTCCGTTTTTCTTTTAATGAAGGATACACGTTATTCACAATAAGACCCGTAGCTTATAGGCCTGGGCTAAAAAAATGTTATCAAAATGTCATATCAGTCGATATAATTATCACAATAATTGTCAATCATTTTTACTTTCAAATTTTCAAATTAAAAGCTGATTTTTGCTCCTGAGTGAAAGTTGAAGAAACCAGAGGTTGGTTAATCTTTTGGTTTCACTCCCATGCTGCTGTTGCTTACCTCTCTTAACCTGAGGGCCCCAAACCAGAGTCCTGCACGGTTCCAATACAGGTCAGTAAAATTGTTTCAGTACAGAAACCTGACTGACTGTCTAGACTTGCTGTCTAACCTGGATGCAAACCAGGACAAAGGACCAATAACATGTTGGAGTGTTGCTCACTTTGGCAGTATTTTGTTAAGTTAAAGTATCAAATCTATTAGAGTAGAGCTTCACCAGCACAGGTAAGCATACGTTAACCTGAAAGGAAGACCGAAGGCTGAGGATGCTAGCACAGCTAATGTTTTCCACACTCAGCAGATTGTAGATCACATGTTCAACCATATTAAATAAACTGTACTCAATGTGGACTGTTTTCTATTTACTTCAGCCAAGTCAACTGGTTTTATGTTTAATCAACAGCAAGTTAGTTCATATTGTATCCTTTAACATCTTAATATTCAACTATTATCTAAGGATTGGAAAATCATTGTACCACTGTTCAAAGTGCTTTTTTGCAGCCTTCACACTCTTTCTATCAGTCTTCTTACAGAAGACCCTGATCAGCTGCTCAGAAAAGCACGTTGTGCCAATCCTGGATGCCTGTAAAGAATGACAGCAGCTTTAATTTGAGAGTTATGGTGACATAAGCTGCCTTACAAATAATAAACAGAAGAAATATTGAATGATTGCGATAAAAAAATTGTTTTAATCAATAATTAGTTCTGACATTTTTGCTGTTCTCGTCTTTCATGCCGTAGTCCATGTTAATGACCTAAAAAGAAGGTCGAGAGTAAAATGTGTGCCATAACAAATTCTGCAACATCTTATAAATCAAAACATCAGCAAAACTGAAGATTTTACAAAAAAGTGAGATGAAAGAAAGTAAAAAAAACTCACCAGGATTTCAAAGTCCTCTGATGTCAGGTTTCTTTCTCCCTCAGGTAAGGATCGAGCCAATCCTTCTTTCCAGCCAGAAATCCGGCTCTTGACAAAGAATCAGAAAAAAATTACAACAGTGGAAAAGGATATTGATTCAAGTTTTTTGCATTTTAAGTTGACAATGTAAGCAACTTGGAATTCAATTCACATTCACTCAAAAAACTGCACCAACTTAGTGTAAATGCATTTGACTGTAGGGCTGCATGGTATGATCTAAGCATTCATTTTGCTATGTGTACAAGTGCCATGGTAATATCCCAGGACGTGTGTTAGTCCATGAGCACATAAAGTGTAGAGGGAGAGAGAGAGAAGGATCACATGCAGTGTATGAAGATGAACTGTTCTTTGCTTAGAAGTTAATGTCACAGGGCTCTTGATGCAAATTAAATGTAGCTTTGAATGTATAAGGGGTTCTTATTTGTAAAAGAAAATAAACTTGAAGACCCAAATAATAATAAAAATTGTAATAGTATGAACATGAAAAGAAAACGCAGTTTCCCCAATATCATGCAGCATTAGTTGACTGAGGGATTTTGTATTGTAAGACATTTCAAGCTGCTATCCAATTCACATTACATTTCAAAAAGAGAACTGTTCAATAGTGCTGCTGTTCATGTTAAATGTAATATTACGGGCAAGATAAAATGCTGGAGACAGTAAATAATGTGATGTGTACTTATTCTATTAACTGAAAATGAGCACATTATCCAGCTTTGTGATAACAGTGCATTATTTATTTAACCGTTTATTTGAATCAGGGTTAGTGTACAAAAAAAAACATTAGTCTCAGAAGAGAAGAGATGCTTTGTACCAGATTTAGCTAGCTAGCTAAGTTCCATCTGTTGTCCCTGGGCAGATGATGGCAACAGCAAAATACAAATCAACCAGACACACACGCACGCACGCACACGAGAGAAGAAAGACATAGAACAATTTACAGATATTAAAACATTATAGTTTCCCTGAGAGATCTAAAAGGTTGTCGAGATGACACATTAATGCTGACAAGGCTGGTTCCTTAAAATCCATTTTTTGACTTCCCGGGTGAAAGTGCAGAAGTTTGTGCAAAGTTTAAGACTAGTTGGAAGACTATTCCATTCCTTAACGGCTTTAAAAGAAAAAACTGATGTGCTAAAGCGGAGCCACGTTTAGGAACACTGCAATCTCCATTAGAGGCAGACGTTGAAGATCTGCTTATCAGCTCAGAGCGAAGTTTCACAAAGCTTTTCAATGGTGGGGGAGCAGCATCATGGATTATTTTGTACACTAAGCGGACATCGGTATAAAAAATTAAATGGTCAAAGCTCAGAATTTTATATTTATCAAGAATATCACAATGATGATACTGTTGTGGTTTCCTGTCCAGAGTTTTAAGGGCTTGTTTATGAAGTGACCTTATGGGTTTTAAGACAGTCTTGTTTGCTTGGGACCAACATGATATACAGTAATGAAAGTAAGAAAAAATCATAGCATTCAAATACATTTTAGACGCTTCGACTGTAAGTGAGTTCCTGATATGTCTAAAGTTGGCTATGTTATATTTAACTTTATGGCACATCTTTTTAATATGACTTTTAAAAGTAAGGTTGTGGTCTAGTGTAACACCCAAGTATCAAGTATCAACCCAACTCATCACCTTTTTTATCATTTGCCCACCTACAATAATATTTGGAAAAAACATATTTTTGTGTTTATTTACAAAATACATGACCACAGTTTTGTCAGTATTAACGTAACGTATGAATAACGTAACCATTCTATGACTTGTTCCATTGCTAATGACAGTTTGGCAGCTACTTGTTCAGGGTCTTTCCCACATGCATATAGGACCGTGTCGTCTGCATACATCAAGGTCCCCACATCATCACACACAGATGGGAGATCATTGATGTATGCACTAAACAACAACGGTCCTAAGATGGAACCTTGTGGCACTCCCATAACGCAGGCTTTTAGTGATGATATTTTATCATTTATCCGTACGCACTGGGAGCGACCAATAGGTAAGACTGAATCCAATTAACAACGTTAGCAGAGAGTTTAAATTTAGACAATTTGGAGATGTGTACTGAATGATTAACTGTATCGAAAGCCTTGCGCAGGTCAAGAAATACAGCACCCACCACCCCTCCTTTATCAAGGCTACCTTTAATGACTTCAAGGAAGTAGCAACATGCCGTTTCAGTGGAATGGTTTGCTCGAAACCCAAATTGCATAGGGTGCAGTAGATTTTCAATATTAAGATGGGCTACCAGTTGTTCAGCAACAACCTTTTCAATAACTAGGTTAAGGTGATTAGATCATGTGTTATAAATGTAATGAAACACAAGAACACAGACTTACTTCCCAATCCTCGATGGGGTCCGCTGGCTTTCTCTCACCAACAAACTTGTAGATATTTCCAGAGACAATGTTTTGCAGAATTAGAGTAGAGCTTAACCAGCACCTTAACCTGAAAGGAAGACTGAAGGCTGAGCACAGCTAATGTTTGAGGCAGAAATGATTCTATTTAACAAACGATCTCTCATTCAACTTATTTTAAAGCAAAACAATGCACTCATCATGCAGATCCATCATCTTACTGGTGAGGATTTTCAGTTTTTTAAAATCTTAAGTAAAAAAAAATATTTTCAACGTTTTTGTCTTTTGGTACTAAAATACAAAAGTTTGAAGACACCAACATTAATTTGGCATCAAAAAAGGGATCAAAATCATATAAAAGCAAAGAAAAGGCAACAGTATCCTGAAGTTCAATGCAATCATTCCCTCCCTGCTCATTGCTCCATTCTAATGCTCATATATTAAAACAGCCTTTCAATGTCATAAAACCACAAACTGCATATATTAATATGGACAATGAGTTTTGGTCTGTTGTATAAAGAGCAAAGACAAAATACCGGCCAACATTTTGTGCTGGTGACTTCTTTTGGAGCCAAGACATGTGCAAACTGAAGCACAACAAAACAAAAAAAGATCCCTCAGGTCAGAAAGAATCCCAGTCTCGATTCTCACATAGTTGCGATGTCATGTCTGCGTGATGCCGATTCTCTTGCTCCTTTTTCCTTCACAAACTGCACTTACGCTGCACTCGCGTCAGTATTTCCCACACAGACAATACTCGGGCTGCCCAGGTACATGTATAGCTGCCCAAGTAGCCTATATTTTAAAACTATATGTTTTAATTATTCATAAAATTGCCGTCCGCACGAGAGAGAGAGAGACAAAAAGAGGGCTGCTGTTTGTTCCTCCCTCCTGTTAATGCACCTGAGGTCCAGCCCTCCTGACATGTCAAAACTGAAGCTTCTCATGACTTAGTTTTATTATGTTTGTGAAGCTGCTTGCTGCCGATGTGATGATGCTCTCTCTTGGTTTTGCTGAATCTTGATAACAGGCCTTCACATCATGCTCACCTGTTGTAATAACTGAGATGCTAGATCAACTTTTTAAAGAGTGAGTTTTGTTGTGTTGCACAGAGCCCATAAAGGCTCAGTTAAAAAAAATCAAATGCTGTCTGCTAATCAGTACAATGGACTTGTAAAGCGTGGCTACGGACTAGCAAACTGTTGACAAGGTTTCATAAATTCTGCGAGACAAAACAAGGGGCTGAGGTCCATCAATTATTTCCATCAGCAAGGCATATCTGGTTTTACTCTCTCTCTCTCTCTCTCTCTCTCTCTCTCTCTCTCTCTCGTGCGCACATCTTTATTCCATTACTTTAAACGAGACAAAATCAGGATGAGAATGCAGGAAAATAAATGTTTGGTGCTTAACATTTTCTTGGGGAGACCCCACCTGAAGCTGGCTGGAGAAACACTGGAAGCCACATACACACCCATTCAAAAAAAGTCTGTTTGAGACTGTAGATCACATGTTCAACCATGTTAAATAAACTGTACTCAATGTTGACTGTTTTCTATTTACTTTAGCCAAGTCAACTGGTCTGAATTTATATTTGATGTTTTATGTTCAATCAACAGCAAGTTAGTCGATATGTATTGTATCCTTTAACATCTTAAGATTCAACTATTATCAAAGGATTAGAAAATCATAGTACCACTGTTTAAAGTGCTTTTTGGCAGCCTCCACACTCTCGTCATCAATCTCCTTACAGAAGACCCTGATCAGCTGCTCAGAAAAGCACGTTGTGTGAATCCTGGATCCCTGTAAAGAAGGACAGCAGCTTTAATCTGAGAGTTGTGGTGACATAAGCTGCCTTACAAATAATTTAAAGATAAAGATAAAGACAAACTTTATTGATCCCCTGTGGGGGAAATTTGTGCATTACAGCAGCTCCAGAAAACAGGGGATGGGAATATACTTATTAAAAATAAAACTAGACGTTAAAATCAAATCAAACATATTTACATCATTTAAATAAAATAAAAAATACAATAATGTAAAATTACACAGTAATTAAGGGATTGCTCTTAAAAAAACACACACAGTGTGTAGCATGAGGTGGTGATGTTGTTAAAGAGTCTGATTAAACAGTCTGACTGCAGATGGGATGAACGACCTGCGGTAGCGCTCTGTCTTGCAGGGTGGGTGTCTCAGTCTGCTGCTGAAGGAGCTGCTCAGGGCCCCCACAGTGTCATGCAAGGGGTGAGAGGGTTGTCCATGATGGATGTCAGGTGTACAGGGTGAAGAGAAAAGGGAGAGAACTGTCCCCTGCGGGGCCCCTGTACTGCAGACCACCATGTCAGACTCACAGTCCTGAAGCCTCACGTACTGTGGTCTGTTGGTGAGGTAGTCCGTTGTCCATGCAGCCAGGTGACAGTCCACTCCCGCCCTCTCTAGCTTCCCCCTGAGCAGTGCAGGCTGGATGGTGATGAAGGCACTGGAGAAGTCAAAGAACATGACCCTCACAGTGCTGCCGGTGTTCTACAGGTGAGTCCAGGATCTCTGCAGCAGGTAGATGACGGCGTCATCCGCCCCGATGTTCGGCTGGTAGGCGAACTGCAGAGGATCCAGATTTGAAGTCATCAGGGGGCGGAGGTTGTTGAGGACGATCCTCTCCATGGTCTTCATCAGGTGAGAGGTGAGGGCACAGGTCTGAAGTGGTTAGGCTCCTGAGGTGAGATGTCTTTGGGACTGGCACCACGCAGGAAGTCTTCCACAGAGTCGGTACCCTCTCCAGTCTCAGGCTCAGGTTGAAGATGTGCAGAAGGACCTCACAGAGCTGGTCTGCACAGTCCTTCAGGAGTCTGGAGCTGATGCCGTCGGGACCTGTGGCCTTCCTCGCCTTGATCTTCCTCAGCTGGCTTCTCACCTGATCAGCTGTTATGGAGAGGCCGTCGGAGGAGGAGGAGGATGAAGAAGAGGAGGGGGTTGTTGGAGGGGGTCGTCTGAGGAGGAGGAGGAGAAGGAGAGGGCTGTTGAGGGGGGTGGCAGGGTACTCAGGGTACTCAGATGGAGAAGCGGGCTGGTCTGCGCTCTGGTGGGTGGGTGGGGTTGGGAGCAGAATCAAATCTATTGAAGAACAGATTCAGTTCATTTGCCCACTCCCTGTCTCCTGCTTCAGGGCCCCTCCCACGCCTTCTGCTGTGACCTGAGATGTTATTCAGGCCCCTCCAGACTTCTCTTGCATTTTTATGTTGTAATCTTCCTCCATCTTTTCACGATAGCTGGCTTTCAATTCCTTGATTTTAATCTTGAGCTATCCTTTTGCACCCTCCTCAGCTCCTCTCTATCTCCAGATCTAAAAACCCTTCTCTTTTAATTGAGCAGGGTTTTCAGCTCAGGGGTCACCCAGGGTTTGTTGTTGGAGAAACACTGTATTTTTTTGGTGGGTACAGTGTTCTCAACACAGAAGTTTATGTAATCTGTGATGCAGTGGGTTAAACCGTCGATGTCCTCCCCATGTGGGCTGCACAGCACCTCCCAGTCAGTGGTGTCGAAGCAGTCCTGCAGCGCCTCAGTGGCCTCCTTAGACCACTTCTTCACATACCTGGTTGTGGGGGGTTGTTTTTTCACCATAGGTATGTAAATGGGCTGCAGTCTCACCAGGTTGTGGTCTGAGCGGCCCAGAGGGGGAGGGGTGATCTGTATGCAGCCTTGGTGTTTGCATACAGTAAGTCCAAAGTTTTATTGTCCCTAGTATGGCAGTCAACATACTGAGTGAAAGTAGGGAGAGTGGCAGACAGGGAAACGTGGTTAAAGTCTCCTGAGATGAGAGTAAGAGACTGGGGGTGTGATGTCTGTAGCTGAGACACTACACTGTGGATGAGTTCACAGGCTGCAGCAGCGTCTGCCGAGGGGGGGATGTAAACAGTCACCGCGATGACGTGTGAAAACTCCCTCGGCAGGTAATATGGCCGAATGCTTACAGCCAGCAGCTCCACATCCTTAGTGCAGCGCTGTTCTTTAACGGTGATGTGCCCAGAGTTACACCACCTCTCATTCACATACATCGCTATTCCCCCCGCCTTTCTTCTTACCGCTCTCCCTCGCGCTCCGGTCCGCTCTGACGAGTTGGAAGCCGTCCAAAGTTACGAGCGTGTCCGGAGTGAGTTCATTCAGCCATGTCTCCGTGAACTGCATGATGCTACACTCTCGGTACTCCCTCTGAAGCCGGGTGAGCGCCGTCAGCTCCTCCATCTTATTAGGGAGAGATCTTACATTCCCCATAATTAAAGACGGCACGGATGGTTTGTACCGTCTTTTCTTTTCCCGGCACTTCACTCCGGCTCTGCATCCCCTTCTCTTCCTCCGTAGTTCTGCCCGGGATATCCGGTCTTTTGGCTGGATGTAACCGAGGCTGGCACAGCGCAACCAGCTGTTCACGGGTGTAAACAATGGAGCCCAATAAACAGAACAAATATTGCAATAAAAAATGTTTTAATCAATATTTAGTTCTTACCTTTTCTTCGGGCATCAGCTTTGCCTTGTCAAGCTCAGATTTGCTGTAGAAATGAACATGTTGGATAGGGTCCTTGTCGTCCATGCCATAGTCCATTTCAATGACCTAAAATGAAGGTTGAGAGTAAAAGTATGTCTGCAGTAACAAATTTTGCAACATCTTACAAATCAAAAAATCTGCAAAACCCAAGATTTTACAAAAAGGTGAAATGAAAGAAAGTCAAAAAAACTCACCAGGATTTCAAAGTCCTTTGGTGTCAGGTTTCTTTCTCCCTCAGCCAGTCCTTTTTTCCAGCTAGGAATCAGGCTCTTGAAAATGGAGCAGAAACGTTGAGAAGAGTGCGAAAGGATAGAAAAGGTTTTTTGCATTTTAAGTTGACAATGTAAGCAACTTGGAATTCATTTCACATTCACTCAAAAAACTGCACCAACTTAGTGTAGATATTTTTGACTGTAGGGCTGCATGGTATGATTTAAGCATCATTTTTGCGTATGTGTACAAGTGCTATGATAACATTACAGAATATATAATATCAATCATATGTCCTGAAATGCGTCATTTCATGCCATTTTTTGTTGTTTTTGCTTTTGAAAAAACAAAAGCCTTCAGTTTCTCTCTTTCCATGACTGATCTACAATATCAGTCTGTCTGATCCTCTTCCTGATCACAAAGAGAAGTGACTTCTGTGCAGGCAGAGTCTATGTGCACATAAGATGTAGAGTTGAAGGGATCACATGCAGTGTGTGACGATGAACTGTTCTTTACTGTCACAGGGCTCAAATTAAAAGTCACTTTGAACATATAAGGGGTTTTTATTTGAAAAGAAAATAGAATTGAAGGCCCAAATGATAATACAAATTATAATTGTATGAACCTCAAAGGTTATTGCAGTTTCCCCAATATCATGCAGCATTAGTTGACAGAGGGATTTTGTATTGTAAGACATTTCAAGCTGCTATCCATTTCAAAAAGAGAACTGTTCAATAGTGTTGCTGTTCATGTTAAATGTAATAACAACACGGGCAAGATAAAATGCTGGAGACAGTAAATAATGTGATGTGTACTTATTCTATAACTGAAAATGAGCACATTATCCAGCTTTGTGATAACAGTGCATTAGATCATATGTATAAATGTAATGAAACACAAGAACACAGACTTACTTCCAATCCTCGATGGGGTCCTTTGGCTTTCTCTCACAACAAACTTGTAGCTCTTTCGAGAGATGATGTTTTGCAGAATCTCTCTTGCCTTTTTAGCTCTGAGCAGGAAGACTTCAGTATTTCCTCAAACACGTTGTCTAAAAGAGTAACAGAGTAACAAGCAAACAAATGATAATAAACATTTAATTTAAACACACTCAATAAATTGTAAAACATGGCATGTTAATTTATAAGTCATCACAAGTAAATTAACAGGATGTGGTTTATTTATCTTTAACAAATGCACGATAAAAAAAATGGATAAAGTAGCATAACTGTAAATGACTAGCAACAGAGCCATGTTTGATACTCCTGTAGTCTGAATTGGCTTCAATGTTGAACATGAGCTAACAGCACCATTTAAATACACACTGTGAGCTTTGTGTAGGCCTCCATGTCCTCATTGGCTGTAGAGAGAGTGAACATCTCCTGATCCTTCATCTGAATGTGACCGTTGCTTTCAAAAAGCCTCAGCAATCCTGTATGTTCATATCAAATATATTATTACTGATGAGATAGTGAATCATGATGCAGATTGAATAATGGAAATCAGAAGGAGACAATCTTATATTTGGAGTAATAACTTCTGAAGGTAGACACTTACATTTCTTGTATGATGTGGCTTACTCTATGCTGACAGGCTCTTTTGTGGAGACAGTGTCTTGTATAGAACAAGTGGTACATATGGTCTTCCTCCTGTTGAGGTTAGGACTGCAGTTTAGTCATAAATAAAACATTATCAGTTTGCTTTCAATTATCTGTTTACAAGCTCAAGTGTGTCAGCACTTGTCTCTGGTGCAGATAGTTTTCCTGCCATCAACCTCACACACTCTGGCAAACTGCAGGAAGCGACGAAAGTCAAAGTTGTTCTTGATCCCCAGGTAGGAAGAGTCCCTGAGTAGAGGCAGATTGAGGCAAGGTGAAGAAAATAGGTGTATAAAGTGAAACTGAATTTACTGGAGAGTTTTGTAGCCTATAATTTAAAATAATCAGGAGAATAATGCATTGTTCAGGTAAAAAAAAAGAAGTGCTGTAGTGGTCTTCATCACAAAATGAATTGCTCTACAGCACTTCATTAAAACCTGACTGGCCAGTAGTCAAACTTGTCCACATCAAGCCGTTTTTTTTTGTTGGACACAATTTCATAGAGGAAGGAATTTTCTTTTGGGCGCCTTTGTACGGGCCATGCAGGGATGACGACACAAAGCGAATCAGGACAGTTTTATTGACACGTATGTTGTTGTCAATGACTTTACACTGCATAGAAAAATATGTAGGACATTCACAAAACAGAGATAAAGCTAAAATATGAACAATAAACTGTGTACAAGCAAAAGCATGACAAATAACAGCAGGTTCAATTTCAATGGAGTTCTAGGCAGATGAAAAACTTTTTTTTAACGATTAAAAAAAAAGGACTCTTCTTGTCCGCCTTTATACTGAGGAGATGTTACAAAATAGTGACATTAGTGACATTGCTGTTGAGGACACAGACCTATTTATGCACAGATGGTGTGATTGCTTTTCTTTCTTTTTTTACTTTCTTTATTGCTTTTACATATTAACAACATTTCCATTTAGTAATGTCCGTACAGAATGTGTATTCTTTTTCGAACTGCTTTTCTACGCATATTCCTGAATGTTTTTCACATCTTCAGGGTTCAGTTTGTATTTCTTCTTCATCTCTTTTCAAGCGTCTCTGTTCTGTAATATTTACAGTTAGGGATAGAGAGATTAATTGTGAAATCTGATAAATTGATTCAAAGGTGTCA